ATTTTACGGTGATTATCCCATATGCGGAACACAAATACACTGCCAAATTTAACTTACAAACGACGCTAGCGATTAAATAAGATCTCTCTCTTACGCATGTCAGGGATTTAATATTCCAAAATTAGGCTTTTACACGGCCGAGACTTTCGTCAGTTTACTTTTTACGTATACTATTTCCGCTAAACGTAATAGTTAGGGGACTTCAAAGACTAAACAATTAAGAAATTTGGTTCTATATTAGGTAGTTTTACGTTTTGGATATCGTGCGTATGATATGAGGATTTTATACTCTGACTGACTGAAACACTCAATATTCCTCAATAAATATATACATTTTTGGCGCTCCAGGAGTGTGTACCAACATGGAGGTAACTAATTTTGTTCGCTTACTTTATATCAAGTTGTGTAAAGAGACTGAAACCTATGAGCAGGGGGTATGGTATATTCACTTGGCTAACACAGACAATGATAGAACTAAAATAAGGAAACTCGGAACAAAATTATGGCCTGACCCTAACCTGGTACACACACTATGGGAGAACCCATTTTTGTACCATGAACGATCCAGTTCCGATAGAGATAAAATTAACATTTACTTTTATTCCGATTTTCGATATTTTGTTTTCCTATACCAATAAAGTATGATGATATCTCAATGAAGCCATTTGTCAAATACTTATCTAAGCGTTCAAAACAAAATTTCAAGAAAGTTTTACATTGCTAACGAACTATTTGAGGTATTTTAGTTTATTCATTTACTCACTCTCTGAGATACTCAAACATTTATAAAGTTGCGGCTCAAATTAGATCGACCGATATTTGGAAGCTGACTCTCGAAATTCTTACATACAGTAATAATAAATCATACTGAAATTTGGGAAATCCAGTGCTGCTATGTGTACCAGGTTAGGGTCAGGCCATAATTTTGTTCCGATTTTCCTTATTTTAGTTCTATTACGAGTTCGGAGACTGTTTGTGTTATAGTCAAGCGAATATACCCCCTGCCAATAGGTTTCATTCCCCTTGCACAACTTGATGTGAAGTAGGCGAACAAAATTAGGTACGGTAAACATACTTCTGGAGCGCCGAAATTCGTATGAATCTCAACTGATTCAGCGAATTCTCATCGAAGTCGACCTGTTTTTAATTAAACAAGATCGTGAACAATTTTACGATAAACGTCTTGTATCACCTTGTTTGATGATAAGGGTGTTCAGTTTTATGAAATGCACATATTGGTTCCAGGAACCCCTGATATGCAATTGTGAATGCTTCAAAAAGATTGCATTCGAATTACTGATTTTTTTCAGTTGTGTGAAATGTTAATACATTTCATGTAATTTCATTTTAGGAATGGCCATTTTTCAATAGTCGTTATTGCGTATGAATACTCACACTGCACATATATATTCATATGTTAGTATAATTTGCGATTCCATTATCAAATACAAGCATATAGATTATTGGCTTGGTCTATTGATTTTCTCAAAACAGAAATGTAGACGTTTTTCATGTTTATTAAATACCAAGCACAAGAAATTAACAGGAAATGCTCATCTTAATGTTGTACATTTAAACAATAACATGCATGTTCATGAATAAAATAGGATTTAATGGACTGTAGCACGCAATGGGATTTCAAAATCATGTTACTACAAGAATTATTATACGGGTGACTAACGGAAATATGGTGAATCCGCAATTTTGCTTACGCATGAAAAACATCTCATTTACATTAGGACATGATATAGGCTGATATTGATCTTGTTCCTATTATTGCGACAAAACAAATGTATATTGACAAAAGTTTGGGTATAATCAATATATACAATGATTAATAAATAATGAGTACCTATTCATTGCGTGTTTCAATGTCTAAAATTAGCGTATCCTTCTTATCTTCTAACTAAAGCTTGCCACTACATTTCTAATCAGGCAAATATTTGTTGTTAGGTGGAATAAAACAAATACATAGAAGTTTGTTGATCACACTAACTACGACAAAAATTTTACACATGCAATGATACAGATGAAGCTATCACGTTTCGAGAAGATTTGGGACCGTTTTGATAGGCGAAGCCTTCGCATTCCGAGATGACCGCATACGGTTCGAACGCAAGCAACATCAATTTGTATAACTCCAGCATGTCATCGAACATAGATCTACATTGGCAACCAACCATTTTGCGACACATGCTCCAGACAAATGAAAAATCATTCTTCGTCGAAGAATAGCGTGAATAAGTCACCCTCTGTAAGTACTGATAGTCCAAACCGATTGTAAGCAAGAGATAATGTCGTAACCACCCAAAACAGTGAACAATCGTGAAAAAACACCAAAAACACTGCAAAAAAAGTGAAAAATTGTGAAAAATCCAAGTTTAAAATTGAACAAAGCTTGCCAAATTGTTCTTTTCCTCTATTCAAACTGAAGTCCGAGTAGGGTCGGAATAATGTTCCGACTTTACAATCATAACAATCTCAATTTTATCACAACTTACGACTATATGCGCGAAGATATTATGCATCCCAGATACGCGGGTGCACAGTACTTCTGTAGTATGCGTACCAAGATGGCGGGCATCAGAACCTAGTATGTGTACCAGGTTAGGGTTAGGGCATAACTATATTCCAATTTGTCTCATTTTAGTTCTATTACGAGTTCGGGGACTAGCCAAGTGACTCCCGTAGTATTTGTACCTAAAATTATGGCCTATCCCTAACCTGGTACACATTCTACGTTCCGGTGTCCGCCATCTTGGTACGCCATACTTCAGGAGTACTGTGCACCCGCGTATTTGGGATGCATACTTGA